TGTGTTCAAGTCTCTTATCAGTTTTCTGAAGGAAATCACAGCCAGGCCTAACATCAACTGAAGTCTCCAGGAAGAAGATGGGGCCCCACAACAACAATAATTCCACGTGGACAATAATAATATCACTAAGTTGACAAACATCTATAGATCAGCTTTGAACTACAAGGTGCTCAGAGCAATTTTGAGAGGGCTAGCTGAGATGATCCAGTTTCAAAGACTACTTGAATAGGGACTTGAGATAAACCCTGAACTTTGGCATTATACACAGACTGGATAACAAAGGATATAGTTACCTTTCCTAGAATTTGACAATTAACCCCAAATTTTTCTTTTCAGAATAAAGATACCTTCACCCATACCCAGTAGGAAGCAATTTCAAGAATACGATGCCCACATTCCCAAAGAGGTGGTGTGGGGCGGGTGGTTTTTTGGTCTTTTAATGGGTTTTGGGTCTAGGATAATTTTCATTGTTTAGGAGGGTTGGTTACAAGTTATTAAGGGTTTGGAAAAGGACTAAGCAAAGGAGAGTAGATTTAAGGTTCTTGTTTAAAAAAAAGAGAGAAAAAAGAAAAAGACAATTACTAGTTTTAAATACTTTACATTGGATTGGATTTTTTATATTTTATACAAATCATATATATTGAAATTGATATTGTTAGAAAATGCTATATGTATATTTCTAATTTTGTTCAAGATATTGTACTTATACTGTTCATTTAACAATGTAATGCAATTTGCTGATCTTTGAATGTTATTATTACCAACTATTAGGATATAAACAAATGAAAGTTAGTAGTTAGACATTACAATAGAACTTGTAGTCATATTAGGTATGTTTTCAAGATTGAGCAGATATATTTTAGATAGATAGGTCATCTTCAAACCCTTCAGAGATCTACAGAATATGGCATTTAAAATGTTTTAATAACTTAGAACATTTTTCTTTTTTGTTATGACTATGAGACATGTTGGCTCCTGGCAGTACCAATCTACTTCAGAGAGAATATGGGCATTGAAGAAACTGCATATGGAGTTAACTTTCATTGTGGCAAAAGTTAGCCACTGGACAACAAAGTATCCTCGAATCAACTGCTGACAAACAGGACAGACAGGACACGAAACAAAGGACTACCGATTCTTGCCAAGACAAGTGTGGTTGTGGCTTTAACAAAAGGCATCTTCTGAGGCCAGGACAATATGGCACCATCCCTGAAGTGGCCTTCACAATCCAGAAAAGGTACAGTGCCCTTTTCTTCGAAGGCAGCTGAACAGGCAGTGGGCCGATGGCTTCTGATGTGCAATGGAACAGCAGCTGAAACAGTTCTTCTTGAAGAGTAACTAAACTCATACCTCTCAATAGTAGACTGGCATTTCATAGAGGGATATGGAGAAAAACGGGATGCTGAGATGAAGCCACACACACACACATAGCCAAGAAGAATGGACAGCTGAATTAAAAAAACATCAACAATTTCCAGAATTTAAAATCATGAATCATGACATGACACTAGTGGAATTCAGGTGTTTCTGCTACATGGCCTGCTCTCACCAAATGTGAGGTCGAACTGTTGACCTTGTGTACATCCTACTTCACCATTGAGTCTGTCAGATACGCTAAGCCTATAGGCTGAAGATGATGTCCCAACGCTGTGGACAAACCTTGATTGACTGTCCAGGCAGCTGGCTGTTTCTGTCAACTCACATTTTTTTTGGAAGTTGTTTGCATGCACTTCCTGTTTTTATTTTTGTTAGGTAATATTATTTCCTTCTTGGGTCTCTGAGGGAGTTGAAGATTAGTTAGTTATAGCTGAAGATTAGTTAGGATAGAAAGTGAATTAGATAAAGTTTGGACTTACCAAAATAGGATAGATAATAGAATTATTTTCTCTGAATTTGTCAAATACAAATGGACTAGACATTGTTTAGGTATTTATTGCTTGTATATATGGTATATAGTTATTGTACTTTTGTATGTAGTTTTTCTTATATTAGTTATTCCTTTTTTCCTTTTTTCTTTTTATTAAAATAGAAAAGGGGAAATATGGTGATATTTTATTTGTACTGAAATGTGATTTTATTTGTATGTTAATAAATAAAGTTGCCTGGGGGTCAGAGCTAATAGCAAGCCATAGCAGAAGTCTGGCAGTGGTAGTACATGCCTTTAATCCTGATCACACCAGCATGGAGACACACGCCTTTAATCTCAATACCAACCATAGAAGAGTTGGAGGTCTGTATAGATGGGCAGTGATGAGGAGGTCATGTGGTTGAGTTTACAACCAATGAGAAGACAGAACAGAAAGTCTATATAAAGACAGAGACACAGGAAGGAGCTCTCTTGTGGAGGGAAGGACAACAGCAGCAGTGAAGGGTAAGGTTTTTAGCTCTTAGCTATTACTCTGACCTCTTGGGCTTTCATCTCTGCATTGACTCTGTGTTTCTTATTTAACAAGACGGTTACATGTACAAGAAAATATTATATTGAGTGAGGTAACCAAGACCCAGAAAGACAAATGGCATATGTTCTTTTTCATATGTTGATCCTAGCTTTTAATTTTTATATATGTGTATTGTTGTGGGAATGAATGAGGAATACATGTATGTAGAAGTGAGGAAACCAGAAAGAGGTTTATGAGGGGCAGGAATAGGGCTTTAAGGAAGCACAATGAGGAGGGTAATAGAACATATGTGGAAACAGAAAGAAAATACTGAGGAGAGGTTTAAGTGGGGGTGGGGGGCAAGGAGATGGTGGAGCAGAAGGAATGGAGGGAGGGTAAACTGAACGTAAGCATGTAGGAAAATATGTGGAAACTTGCTACTTTGTAAAGTACAACTTTTTTAATGGTAGAAAGTGTTTAAGAAACAATACCCGAATATACACATACACATACATACACACACACACACACACACACACACACACACACACACACACACACGAGAGAGAGAGAGAGAGAGAGAGAGAGAGAGAGAGAGAGAGAATATGAATTAGATCTAAAACGTCAATATGAAAACCAGAGAACATTCACTAAGGAGAAAATTTATGAAACCACCTAAAGTAAGATGACTCTAGCAATTGCATCAGTGTGGCCCACAAGCCCCACAGCACACAAAGCATCTAATAGTAAGGATATTTCTGCCTCTGTTGAGGCTGCAGACAACTGCTCTGGAGAAATTTCTACACGGTCCTTTCTCTTATCAGAACGTCGCAAGATGATGACAGAATGGATGTGAACAATTCTGATGGTATCCATCTAAAGGAAAATCCAAAGAAATGGTTATTTCTCTCTCTGGCCAATTACATTTCTTTCTCCAATTTCCTGTTTAGGATTACATTTTATTATTAAAGTAGCAGTAGAGAATTTCAGTTTTGAAAACTGATGCTTTTCTTATTAATGATGCAATATTATATATATATTTAAATTTATATTGTATTCTTGAGACAGAGTTTCGTGTAGTCTAGGTTGGCCTCCAACTTGCTGTGTAGCTGGAGCTGGGCTTAAACTCCTGATCCTCCTGCCTGTACTTCCAAAGTGCTGGCATTACAGGCATGCATCAGTATTTGTAGTTAATAAATGTTTTCAATATACCATATCCCAATCAAGATACATATTTCAATAGCATTTAGATCAAGGATGTGCTTTTTGAATAATCATCTAAGATGTGCAAAATGCATTATCATATGAAGGAATATAAAACTATTCAAATGCTAATAATATGGTTGAGGAGAAAATATTGTACATGAAACTACACTAAAATAATGGAGAAAATCAATGTTAGAGGAAATCATAAGAGTGACTTACATTAGAAAAAAATTAATCATAGAGAAGGTAGGTAAATGTTCGTATTTGTTGATTGCTGTGCATGGACATACAGAATTCCTACAGTTGCCATGTAGGTATATAAGCTACAGAAGAGGTAAAGTGTGAGTAAAATGTTTGGGAGACAGGTTGGTTAACTGATATAGTTGTATAGCTAGAGGTGGAATGGAAGATAGTAAGGCTAAGAAAAGACAGAATGAAAGGATGTACAAAGTTTCTAATATCATGTAGTAGATTTCAGGATGAACTAGAAGGAAATTAAATATGGCAATGTTTTTCTGGTAGTATTTAAGCTTTGGCTCAAACAGAATCAGTTTAGAAACCATCAACAAAATTTTCATGAAGTAACAAAAAATGTATGGAGAATGGGGCCAGAGGTCTGGGCCTAAATCAAGAGGGGTGCCCACATTTAGAATAGTGTAGAGTAAAAAGGAGAAGAAAGACAAAGAAGACATAAGAAACAATGAAATGGTTCGAGTTTGGGATTGAGGTGGGGCAGTTGGCTTTCAATGACAGAAGTGGCAAGATAAAGATGAAATCTGAGAGGAAGTTTTTGACATAAGCTATGATCTCCCTACTGTACAATGGCACAGCTCTTAAAATATGTTGTCTGATTTTAAATGAAACATATGATGCTCACTGTAAATAAAAGGCTTAATTCAAAAAAGGGGAGGGGGAAGAATGTGAAATATCTCAACATTTCTTAAATATTGACTACATATTGAAATAATACTTTATATAATAAAACCAAATAAAATATACCCTTATATTAACATTATTTACATCCTTTGGCTGTAGCTACTTATTAAAGAAAATGTGAATATAGTTAAAAGTATTTTGGTATGAAAACCTATCCTGAATAGACAAAAGTCAAGACAAGGTATCAATTGCATAACAAATACTGACTATTCTTTTAATAAATAAAATGTTGCTTAAGGGATAACCTGTTCTTTTCATTGTTGTTGTTTGACAAGGTCTTACTTTACAGCCCAAAATGGCCTGCAACTTACTATGTAGCTTAGGTTAGCTTGAAACTCACAAAAATCCTTTGCCTGGCCTCTTGAGTGCTGAGATTACAGATGTGAGCCACTTGGCTTTATAATTTGTTGAAAACACAGATAGCTCTAGAGGGCTTATATCTCAGAAGGTTGTTATGCTTTTATATTATTCAGTTACTTAGTGTTCCTATAAATCATGTGTTTCTATTTTATGTGGCTTTTCACATAGTCTCCCTTCTGTGTAAATATTTTCACTTGGTAATCTCTTTCATATTAAGTTCCTGACCATACTATAAATACCTAATCATTTTACTCTCATATATATTCTTTCATAATAGATAAACACTTATTTCTGCTAGAACACACATTGTGTTCTATTTATTTTCATACTTTTCTCTTGTACTAGAATACAAGCTTCTCAAAGCAGGGACCATATTTCATTTATGACTTTCTTACCAGCAACTAATACAATGTGTGCCGGGCATAGTGTAGATGAAAAATAAAATTAGAAACAGAGACAGATGCATCCCCTCTCAAAGAATGATGAGACAAATAACTGACTTTTCAACAGGATCTATGAAGTCCCAAAGATTACATCTTAGAGAACGAAAATAAAATACATGCAAACCAATAATTCTATACTCTAAGAATATATCCTTTAAACTGCAGACAAAATAAGGACATCTTCAGATGCATAATGGAGGGAATCTATTATCAGGACAGAAATGTTACAGTTCTTCAGACAGAAAAATAATTCCAAAAAATGAAGGAATGATTATATGCCATAAAAATATTTGGATAAACACAATGAATACAGGGTGAACAAAAAAGTAATATCAATGTTAAATAAAGCTCAAAATACATATAGGATTAAAATGTATGCAATAATCCAAAAGGTAGAAGGGAATAAATTAAAATAAAAAATGTTCAAAAGTTTTAGTACAAATACTCCCCAACTGACAATTATTCAACCAAGGAATTTTTAAACTTTACACTGATGGGGATGTGGTATATATTCAGCAGAAATTATACTTCAAATTTAAATCTTTTCCTGGGTTGATGATAAACATGTAGCATAATAGACTTTTGCAATGCTGAGCTGCAGGTTTCAGTAAGCTATACAATCATGAAGATAAAAAATGGATAATGCACAGTGTGCTAGGATGTTTGGTCTATATTTTCAACTTACAATGAATTTATTCAAGATATAACAAATTGTATTATTGGAGAGATGGCAAAAATAGTTGTATTAAACTGTAAAAAATGAAGAATACATAATGCAATATGTAGGAAAACCACTAAAAACATAAAAGACTATTATAATAAATGGAGGTTCAAGATAGAATAATAAAATATATTTGATTAACACAAAAGAAGGCAAGAAAAGAGAACAAGTAATTTAAAATAAAAAGTGGATTAAATAGAAAGCAAAAGAATGGTAACCGTAAGTCATACATATTAGTAAATACTAAAAATAACAAACTCCAAATAAAAAGATCATCAGACTGGATTTTTATATGCTGCTAAAAAGAGCTATAAATATTGGTATACAGACATGCTAAAAACAAGAAAAAAACTTTACAAAAGAGTAGTGAGTAAAGGAAAATATAGAATTAATAATTAGGTTTTCTTCTTGAAAATGAGAGTGACAGGGGCTGGAGAGATGGCTCAGAGGTTAAGAGCACTGACTGCTCTTCCAGAGGCCCTGAGTTCAATTCCCAGCACCCACATAGTGGCTCACAACCATCTGTAACGAGATCTGGTACCCTCTTCCATATACATAATAAATAAATCTTAAAAAAAAGAAAATGAGAGTGACTTAAGTATAGTATTTGTAATCTAATGTAACTTTTTTAAAAAAGATTTATTTATTATATATACTTTATGTATATGGGTTTTTGTCTGCATGTACATTTTCACACCAGAAGAGGGCATCAGATCTCATGGGACTACAGTTATATATGGTAGTGAGTGATGGGAATTGAACTCATAACCTCTGGAAGAGCAGCCAGTGCTCTTAACCATGGAGCTATCCTTCACCCCTGTGACATTTTTTTTTTTTTAATAGGTGAAGTGTTATGGTTAATCTGGGTTGTCAACTCGGCTGGATTGACAAGATGCCTGGAGTGAGATTAGGGAAGCTCACTTCTGGTGTGCCTGTTACAGCATCATTTTCAGAGAAGACTGATTCACAGTAATCCTGCATGTGGATACTCCATACAGTAGTCTGGGAGCCCAGGCAGAATTAAAGAAAAATAAGAGACAGCCTGCCAGGGCAGCCTAGCTCCATCCTTCCTGAGCTAGTGCATGTAGCACTGTCACCATTGCCCATGGCCACCAGATTCCAGAGCCTCCAGCTGTCCAATGAAGATGCACAGCAGCTATGCTCCAGGGAGCTCCCAGGCCTGGATTGGGGCTGCATCATTTGTCCTCTTTGCTCTGAACTGAATTATCCTATTCTCCACTATACAGAAAGTCAATTTTGGACCACCAGTCCTCCAACTGGGTAAGAAATCCTATAAATTGCCTTTTATAACAAGTATCATAGAGAGGGAAAGAAAGAGATCTCTATTCTATTGTTTCTGTTCCTCTGGAAAACTTTAACACAGGAAGAAAGGCAGCTTAAGTTGTTATGGTAAAGGAGTTTGTATATAAAGATAATAAGTAGATGCTTTAAGGCCTAATAGCTTGGAGAAAGGATTAGAAACAATTATTTTTATTGCAGTTTACAGAATCATTAGCTTTTGTTATATTGAAGGAAAATCTAGCTGGTTTTATACAAGTAGCTTAGAGAATGGCATGAAAAGTGGGGTGGGCGTGCACACTCATGAGACAAGCCAGAGTGGGCTAAAAATCATGACACCATGAATAAATTGCTTATAAGAAGTATAGACTACTGGGACTAGGTAATAAGGTAACAAGAATATGAACCAAACCTCAAAGTCTTAAGTAAAGTAGGAGAAAGCCTAGATAGAAAACAGGCAGTGACAGCAAGCAGAGGAACAGGGTAATGTTGATCAGATTATTTCTATTGATCAAGTGAAGTTCCTACAAAGAACAGAAACTAACTAGGTCCCATTGTAGTGAGATTTTTCATCTAATTTTAGTAGAAAAAAAATACATGCTGCACAATTACAAAGTGGATTAATATCCTGGCTGAAGTCATCAAACAGACTGCAGAAATTCCTCCCCAGCTGAAAATTTCCATCATGCAAAATTTTTATCATACATACCTTTTCTGCAACTGTGCGCATTTCAGTTCCAGTGTATGTAAATTTGGAGTCATTCCTATTGGAGATAGATTAGAAAAGGGGGGAACTAGGGTTTGGAATAGAAAAAGGAGTCAAGGGAAAATAAGATAAACAGTTCTTGCACTGTAACCTTAGCTGAAACAAAAGAGTAGGGAAAGAGAACAGAGTAGACTCCAGGTATTAAGGAGGGGACTTGATAAACAATAAGCTATGCTTTGCTGTTTAAACAAAGGAGACCCAAAAGTTTTACCATCTCTCAAGCTTTTAAGGTACTAGTAACCTCTAGGAGTACTGTAGGGTTCACAGGGGTGGGGGTGGAACGGGTCAGAAATCCACTGATGATTTAGATGGAGGAATAGATCAACAAGGGAAAAGCCTCTCAATGTGTGGATATTATCTGCTACAATGAAAGTTACTGGCATATATATCCCTGACATTTCAGGGAAGAGAGAATGTAAAATACAAAGCAAGGAAATGGAAAGCAATAGAGCCAAATGTCAAGTATATTGATAGTCATTTTTAATAAGCTGCCTTTATTTCAGTCAACAAAGTTCTATTCGTGTACCTATCATGCAGTAGCCAATTGGGCTCCTGGAGCTCCAACAAAATTCTATTTATAAGAACTTTTACAGGTTTACTTATGATGTTGGTTCCTTCAGCCAGATTTTTCCACATGAGAGCATAAATGTCTCAAATAAAAATCATGCTATAATACAAGGTTAAAATGAATCTTTAGGGCTGTGGTAGAATTCAGATTGTATTGTTGAGGGAGCTCTGTTCTGTAAATGTTAAGATACAACATGTACACACTATTACCAAAATTGTTGCAGTTCTTCACTAAGAATCAGTTTAGAGATTATAATATGATGTAAGTAAACAAATATAGTCTTACCTTATGTCATCATTCAACTGGAGTAGGAAAGAGCAGAAAACATTACTGACACATTGTTTATTAAGTTATAGGGATGCAAGTTTACATGAAAATTAGGTCATATGTTCATACACAACAGCATGAAAGACTGGAAAATTCAATCTGAGCACTTTACAACTACACTGTATTTCATCTACTTACACACCTCTGTAACATTTAACCACAACAGACTTTAGAGTCCACAAAACCCTTCTGACCTGAATACTTTGCCCTACTTTAAAATGCTTTAGTGATAGTTCTGCTTCCCATAGAGAAAACTGGTAGCGAGACGAGAAGTTTTAACCGTGGTCTGCTTGTTTCCTAATACCTCGATATCCTCATTATACCAGAATGTGTTTCTGGCTTGATTTTCGGCTTTGGTCACTGGTGTGACAACTCCCACCCCCGTGGGCTCATGCAGACCGCTGAGGGTTTGCAGGAACATAAGCATGGATCACAGGGCCAGAGGAAAAGGACCCCGCGACAGCATTACAAAACGCAAAGGACCTAAATCGCGTTCCTGTGGCCTCCCAGCCGCTTCAGGTACCACTGGGTACTACTGATCAGCAAAGTTTCAGCCAGGTTGGCCGACCTACTCACCTCCCCTATACATAGACCCATCACTTCCTCCTTTTCAGTGCTCAGAGCATGGTTGAGACAAACTAGGAAAGCGTCAGACTCAAGATGAACCGCTTGAACAGCTTGCAACACCTGCACCGCCATCTTTGTCGGTTCCACACGTCCGCCTACCGCCCACAGCAGCCTGGCCAACCACGTACTCCGACGCAACCTTCCCAACCGGCCGCTTGATGCTCCGCCCAGGCCTGGCCTAGCGGCGCGGTTTTCAGAGGCGGAGCCTGGGGCGCGGAGGCGGTGCCCTCCTAACAGCACCTGGGAGACTCACTGGTCGGTCTGGGCTGGAGAAGCAGTGGGACACTGGTGGTGGCTGACAAAGGCAGTCTGCAGGGCAGTACGGGCCACTGGGTGGCTGGGTGGCAGGGAGGCGGTGTTTTTCCGCCAGGGCGGACGTGGGCTGTGAGCAGCTCCCAGGCGCAAGGGCAGACGCCTCCACAGTGCTGGAGCCCATTTTGCCCGCCCGCTGAGGAGAACTCTGCGCGGCCTACACGCGTCAGGGACAGCGCTTTGAGGTGACATCGCCACGAACAACGGTCTCTTTTGAAAGTTGGTCCTAAAACAGTTAAGGTTTTATTTTATTTTGTTTTATTTCCAAGTCACAGCTCTTGAATCTCTCTGGACCACGTCCTGATGCTGGCCTGACCTCCTAACTTCGGTTCTAGTGACCTCGGCCTTGGATGTCCCTTGGTTCGCCTTGGGCTTGCATCGCGATCCCTGCTTGAGTGTCCCGGGGTGGGAGACCTGGAAGTTTTAGCCTAGCTGTTCCGGAGAAGGTGTAATTAGTCCAAGAAACATTATATACATGTGAGTAACCTTTTACAGAAACAGTGTTTTACTGTGTCTGAAAAAGTAAGTCCAGTTTGCTTGCTGTTACTTTTTACAAAAGCTTTTAGATATATATTTGTTTGATACAGGAAAAGAAGGATTGAGGGAGAGACTTAACTTTTTATTCGGGTTTGAATGTATCACATCAAGTAATTAATTCTAGGAAATTACAAATTTCACCTGATCTCTTTCCTGGTGTCAGACATGATTAACTTATATGTAAAACTTACTTTATTTTAAAATATGCCAATGAACTAAGGGATAAATGTACAAACCTTCCTTCCAATTTACAAGTTTACCAATTACACAAGGGATTTAGTATTGATTATAAATTAAAGCAAAATATATGCCACTCAGCCTCCACAGCTGATATGCTTTTGTTTGAATTTGTTTTTTAAAACTCCTTTTTAAATTCTGAAGCCAGACAGATATGGCAGTACTGGAAGGGAACCTATTAAAGGCACTACTTGAAGAGGTGTTGATGCTTTGCTCTTCTCTCCCAAGTCAGTTCCAACCCAAGTCTCACCACAAATACTGTCCCAAATCCAGGGCACTGTGGTGCAATATATATGCCAACAACCTCTCTTTTTACCTTATGCTTATGTCACATCTTTCCATGATTAAGTTTCATAATGATAAAGGTTGGAGAAACTGCAGGGGTGTAGTTGGACCTAGCTGCAGTTTCAAATTTATGTCTTATGTTATTTTCAGTTACTGTTCATAGCTAACATGTCCTGCCTTGGTGGGACAGCAAGAACTGCTCATCTTATTACATTTGCTTAAGGGATATTTTTTAATTTATCAATTCATTTAGCTGCCTTCAAGAAGAAAAATACTTTTTTTTAGTCAGTCTCATATTCTAGAATGTTCATGCTACCTTTTACAGCTCCAAACATTTGACCAGAGAGGGAAATACTGATTAACATTTATAGCAAGCTTATTATATGCTAAAGATTCTACTAAGAATTTACATACATAGTGTGTATAAACTGCTTCAACTGGAATCAGGCTCTGAAATTTCTAGCTGTGTTAACTAGTTGGAATGGTTATCTAATTTCTCTGTGTCTTACTTTCATTACCTTTAATTGGGAATAATACCAATGCCCATCTCATAACATCCCATGAAGATCAAATGGGTCAATGTACCTAAACATATGTTTTTGTTTCTGTTTTTTGTTTGTTTTGTTTTTAATTTTCCAAGACAGGATTGGCTGTCCTGGAACTCTCTCTGTGGACCAAGCTGGCCTTGAACTCAGAGGTCGGCTTGCCTCTGCCTCCGAGCGCTGGGATTAAAGGTGTGCGCCACCACCACCCAGCACCTAAACATATGTTAAACATATGAGAAGTGTTTAATAAGTATGATTGCAGTCAATATGTTCATAATTTTACACCTCAGGAAAACTGAGGTAGAGAAAGATTAGGTTGTCTGAGGGTCACAAAGCTTCTAAGTGGCACAAGCAGGATGCATTAATCAGCCAAGCTGATACCTGGACCTATGTTCTTTGGCAGCTGAAATCATAATTGGATGAGAATATTAAATGGCTTCAAATAATTAGCACATTCAACTTATTGATGCCATTTAAAAACTCAAATACCTCAAAATAAAGCAAATCGTACTCTTGTAAAGAAAAAAATACAAAACCATTCTTCCTGTAAAGGAAAAAAAGATGGTTTTATTTAAATTACAACAAAAGGAAGCTCTTCTATATTCTGAAATTCATTTAAAACCTAATTTACAAAGTGTCTAAAATAATGTGTCTACGTCAATATGGCTTTTGGAATCAAGGCAACTTCTATGGAGGTCATCTCTTTTAGTGGATGCTATAGCTGTAAAGTTATGCAAACATATTTTGGGATGCATTTGTATCTGAAACCGGTAGTATTTTTAAGTTAAATTGCATAGGTTTATATTCCATGTATTGTATTGTACTAAATTTGTAACTAAATTTATCCTGTAGTTTTAAGATATTCCTTAGTTTGGAGAACCCTGTATTTTGTGAACAAATACCATATGCCAAAAAAAATGTTCTCTAGTCAAATAAGTTTGGGAAATGTTAAACTATATAAAAATCTCTGTACAGTATAACTTAGTTGGAGTTTTTACTATACTAATATGCTTTTATGATCTCCAATGTTCCCAAACATACTTGACCAAGGAAAATGTTGGGATCAAGGGTTCTAAAGAATCACACTTATGGAAATGATGTTCCATTCATCCAACATGTTATTTTTATAGACTTTGATCTAAATGCCTTTTGCTCAGCCTTTGCATTTATCTACTGAGGGTGTTGATGTTTTCATAGTTATGTGGTGGCTTATCAGTCTCTTGATCACTGCTGTTGCCTTTCTCTGGGCCCTTATGCTCTGAATAATAGGACACAGAAATCCAGGCTAACATGCAGAGTGTTGTTCCCAGGCTCATCTTGTCAGTGCCCAGCCTGTTAACCTTTGGAGGTCACAGCAGCACACTATACTGCTTTTCTTCTGAGAATATTTTGTAGTGCCTCATAGTAATTTAGAATATTACAATCTATCTGCCTTTTCTTCCACTGGAATTATTTCCTTCCAATGTCGGTATGACCAATAAAGTTTTGTTTTTATTCAAAAGAAATTTAAATGTCAACATGTTGGTTGTTGCTAGGACCTATCTATATCTATATCTAGGACCTATCTATATCTATGAAGTTGAGATGGTCTTGAAACCCTTAACAGTTGGCTCCTGCTTAAAAAAATGCTCTGTGTGTGTGTGTGTGTGTGTGTGTGTGTGTGTGTGTGTGTGTGTGTATGTGTATGCGTGCACGTGCACGCGCACACACTCTCATTTTTATTTTTGTATTGGAATTTACTGGGGGTGTTGTGTGTATGTCTAAAGCTCTTCAAGAGAGGAAGAACACTTGTATTTGCTAAATGAAAAAATGGCTTACAAATGTATATATAGAGACTCATGCATTTTAGGCAGATAGAAAGGAAGAGCAAGGGTATGCAGCTTGAAACAACCCTGGTATTTGAAAGAAATTTTGGTTTGAATACAGTGGTAATGGTGATATTTGCTGGAACTGGTGATATAGGGTGTAGCAACTGAATGAGAAGAAGAAATTCAAGATAACCCATAGTTTTTGAGTGTACAGAAGAGTTGATATTGCCATACAGAAAGTAGAGTTTGGTTAAGGAGAAAAGGATACTAACATAAATAAGTTGGAAATGAGAGAGTACATCCAGATGAAAAGGGGAACATGTGAAAGGTTCAGAATCATAATCACTCAGGAAATAAATGGATAACTATCATACCTATTGATTTGTCACAAAAATGTGACCATATTCTCTCTCTCTCTCTCTCTCTCTCTCTCTCTCTCTCTCTCTCTCTCTCTCTCGAGACAGGGTCTCCTTATGTAGTTAACCTAGGGCTTAGCTATAATATACTAGTTGGCCTTAATTTTACTATATATATAGCCCAGGCTGGCTTGAACTTTGCTCAGCTTCTGGCATGCTAAGATTGCAGGCATGCACCAACATACCCATTTTGAGACAATAGTTTTTATTACTAATTTCCTTTTAGGGGATAGGCAGAAAAACAGTGTTAAGGGGGGGAAATCAGATTCAGGATGGTATCCTTGAAAGAAAGAAGAGCTAGGCTTAGCATCATTCCTTTATTTCTGGCTTCTCATTCCACATCATGATTGACATCTGGTTTGCTCTGGATAGTATCACGTTGAGGACTCTAACAATCTCCCAAACTATGCTTCATTTCCTTTCCCATTAATAGCTACTTATTGGGAATGGGGGAGGGTTCTCTATTATGGGACAGATACCCACTGATGTATTTGTGCTCTGTAAAAGATAGAAATACAGTGAATCTGCATCATGATACTATGAGTGATTCCCATGAGATTCTGTTCATGAAAAATGCATCTGAAGTTATGAGATCTAAAGCTGGACATAGGACTATTATGGAGAGTTTCCTTGCCACTCCAAACTCTGAGAACTGTACTTTATTTACATCTTTTAAAGAGCAGAGAGATATTTTTGACCTAGTTTGTAGAGTAAAAGTTTACAACTATGCCTCTTAGAAAAACAGGCTTCTGTGACATCCTACTTAAGTGAAACAGGGAGCTAGATGGATGGCTGTTGTTTGCTTTCAGAAAGTCATGAAACTACACTAAATATTTTTCCTAAAATGAAAATCCCTTTCTGGATAAGCCTCACTAGTTATAAATAACTTTTAATATAAAAAGACAGGTATTTCTTTTGCCCTTGTAACAAACTTAGTCTCATTTTAGAAAGCCATATACATCATTGAGAATCTTTTTAAAAATGTAAACTGCTTGGGAGTGGCTTTTATCTGAGGAATATGGCATGCATGTGTCTGTTTCACTACTTTCCTGCCAAAAACATGTATCCTTAGGTACACTTTTGCGCATTTTCTATTGCTAACACACTACCTTTGAATACTGCTTTGTAGATGCAAAAGAGAGAAAAACCAATGCCCAGCCTCCTGCAGTTCTCATCTCATCTCCCCACAGAATGAACTTAGAATTCTTGAGTGCTTTGCCATAGAAAGTTTGCATTACCTAGGCTTTGCCTGAGTGTCACTTCAGTTTCATTTTCAGAAAACTTAAGATGCCATTTGATATGTGTAGGTTTACAAATAGATATGTATGAGGTTTGGTTCTGGTTGGTGGTTGCTAGTCCCAGGTCACCTTGCTCACTAGTGAGTTCATACAAACCTCAAAAGTCACACCTGTGTCCTGTGCGCGGATGCTGCAGGCTTAGGTGGAGAAAAGCAGGGCTAGAATTGGAACCCAAAGCCCAGAATGGCAAGAGAGGATGTGGGGGCTCCACCCGATCATCTCTGGGTTCACCAAGAAGGTGTCTACCGCGACGAATATCAGCGCACATGGGTAGCTGTGGTGGAAGAGGTAACTGCTTTAATTTAAAAAAAAAATTTTTTTTTGCTTTTGCTTTTAAGTAACCTGGCTTCTATCTAGTCTCAATATTCTGATGTCTTTGGTTTTATCTTTGATCATTCCTATTAGGAGACAAGTTTCCTAAAGGCTCGAGTCCAGCAAGTTCAGGTTCCCTTAGGTGATGCAACTAGGCCAAGTCACCTTCTTACTTCCCAACTACCTCTCATGTGGCAACTCTACCCAGAGGAACGCTACATGGATAACAACTCTCGCTTGTGGCAGATTCAGCATCATTTAATGGTACACATTTTGCTCAATCATTTTCCCTTATACTGGGGATCTTACAATGGAGTGCTTTATAAACTTTTTTTTTTCTGATAGGTGAGGGGAGTACAGGAACTACTGCTTAAACTTTTGCCTGATGATTAACCTGGTATGTATTTCTATTTTTTTTCTCCTTCTTCCCCTTCTTTGTTTTCACTCTATTCAGTTGTAATAATTTGAATGATTTTTTTTTTCAGGTGCTGGAATTCTAGGAAGATATGTTCCTCTGTTCTATTCACATCATTCACCACTACAGTGCTCCTACCCTTGGGTCTGGGTGGGGAGAGAGTAGTTTGAAAAACTACAGAAGTTTAGGAAGGGTCATGAAGAACACTGCCAGTGACACTACAGAGAGAGGGTTACACCGGGCAGAAATCAAGCCAACAAAAACATTTAGTCAGGAAATGTAACTTGAAATTGACTCCTCTGGAAATTGGCATAGAACGTTTAATGGACTTCATCGGTTGAACCTGGGATCTGGTGAATCCCACAAAAATCAGCACATGCTACAGAACAGATGCCCTCATCACCAAGGACTTGGTACTTATTTAGAGAGAAGAGAGCAGCCTCTAGCAGCATCAACATGTATTTGTTGCTTATTTCCCCTGCAGCAAATCACCTGCCTTTCCTTCTTCCATCCTGTAAATATCTGAGGTTTTGTTCTAGTGTTTCCCATCCCAGTACTGACCTAATTTGGATCTACTGAGAACTTAAGGAGTTCTGGGAGGAAAAGGTTATTTGTACTGACTGATAAAATTAGTTTCAAAGGCTCCTGTGCCTTTCTTCTTTCTGAAACCTGTGTCTTTGAATTGTTTTTACAAGTTTCTCATCAAAATCTTGTGAATCTAAATTCTTTGATTACAAATATTTTATATATTTGGCTTCCATTTGACCTCAATAGATAATGTTAACTTTAATTGGCACTTTTCTCAAGAGGTAATAGCAACTAACATTGCTAATTCCAGGGAAAGTGTTTCTTTTACTTGTAAAAATTTTCCTGAATTAAAGCAGTTGTGACAGTTTATGTACATTAAAGTAAGATTTTGCTTTTTAAAATATGTCTTGGGTCCAGAGCAATGGTGCATGTCTATAATCCCAGCTATTTGGAAGACTGAGGCAGGAGGATCACTTCACCCAAGGAGTTTGGTGCCAGCCTAAGAAACATAATGAGGCTCTGTCTTAAACAAAAAAGCACTTGGGTATAATAGCTACTGTGTATTGAGTTCTTGATACTTTCCAGTTACTATTCTGTGCACTTTATATGTTTTATCATGTTTAGTTCTTCCATCAGTTCCTTGAGGTACGTATAATTCCTATTGACATGAATAGTGAAAAAAAAATGTTCAAGTGTAATCATTTACCAAGGGTTTCTTTTGTGAATCATAGAATCAGGCATTGGGCCAGGCCTTTAAAACAGTGGTGTCATTCTGACATTTGCTTACAATATTCAAAATGAGTAGACTGAATTTTTTCATGTCTATATCTTCCATACTTGAGATGGAAATATAAAAATATAGTTAATTTATCATATGAATTGAGAAAGAGTATTTTTAGTGCAACTGTTTTTTTTAACAATTGTAAGGTCATTTGACTTGCCCCAGAATAAAATTCTATGTAGATAGGCTTCAAAGTCTTTATAAATAAAAAAAGTAACATTTTAATATTTTTTTTGTTTTAGTTTTCTGGATATGCCACAAAAGGATCCATGCCAGAAACAAGCCTGTGAAATACAGAAATGTTTACAAGGTAGTATATAGATTTTTTTAAAAAAATATTTTTAAACTTTATCAACTAACTGTAAGAAACTAATGATATTACCAGCAACTTTCATTAACTTTAATTAAGTAATTATGAATCTTTTCTTCTTTGTATTATGAAATGTTTAGAATATTAAAAGAGTTGTTATGTAGGGAATGGGAGGCTGTCTTCAGTGGTAGAGCACTTGCCTAACATGTGCCCCAAGGGTTCTATCCTCAGCACCACATTTACACAAAAAAGTGATTTCATTTAAGCTATGGGTTATTGAGTTCCATTGTACATTAGAATTACCTAACATTTTTTTTGTTGTTGTTGTTGTTTTGTTTTTTGAGACAGGGTTTCTCTATGTAACAGCCCTGGCTGCCCTGGAATTCATTTTGTAGACCAGGTTGGCCTCTAACTCAGAGGTCCCCTGCGTCTGCCTCCCAAATGTACCTGGAGAACTTTAAAACTTGTTTAACACACTTAAAGCAGACTTCCTGGAGGTAGGGTCTGAGCAGGAATCATTTTACAAACCTAACCAAGTGATTTTAATGCACAACCCCAGCTAAGAATTACTGAGCTAGCTAGGCTGTGGTGGCACACGCCTTTAATCCCAGCACTCGAGAGGCAGAGGCAGGCGGATCTCCGAGTTCAAGGCCAGCCTGGTCTACAAAGTGAGTTCCAGGACAGCAAGGACTAAACAGAAACCCTGTCTTGAAAAACCAAAAAAAAAAAAAAAAAGGGAAAGGAAAAAAGAATTACTGAGCTAAGCAAAGTCCTTCTATGAAAAGACTAGTTTGGAGTTGAGGATATGGGGCATCTGTGTCAAAACTCAGGTGGCTATAGTTGTGTGGTTTACTCATAGTATGCTGACTTTATAAGTTCTAAAGGTTTTCATGGAGCCTTAGGCTTTTCTAAGTATAGAATCATATTTATAAACATAAATAATTTGACTTCCTGCTTTCCTATTTGTATTTATTTTATTTCTTTCTCTTGCCTGATTTCTCTGCTGAACATTTCAAGTACTATATTAAGTAAAGGTAGAGAGAATGGAAACCCTTTTCTAGAGGAAAAAGTTGCCTTCAGTTTTCCCTTATTCACTATGATATTAGCAACAGGTTATATTTAGCATTTATTCTGTGAAGATACAACCCTATTATACCTAGTTTCTTCAGGGTTATTTTACATGAAAGGATGTTAAATTTTATTGAAGGCCTTTTTCCTACATCTATTGAGGTGTTAGTGTGGTTGTTTTGACTCTATTTATATATTGTATTTATTGATTTATGTATGTTGAACCATATTTGCATCCTTGAAACAAAACCAACTCTTTTCGTTGGTATCACTGAATTAAGTTTTAAAGTCGTTAACTTAGGCTTTCTACATGTATGTTTGTTAAAGGATCTTTGATGTTGTATGTTTTTTACTGTTTTGACTCTTTGTTCTTTTGGGAGCCCGCCACCCAGCTCCAAAGTAAATTACACATGGGGGCTTATTGTTAATTATAAATGGCCAGCCTTAGCTTGGCTTGTTTCTTGCCAGCTTTTCTTGACTTAAATTATCCCATCTACTTTTTGCAACTGAGCTTTTCTTGTTCTCTTACTTGTATAAATCTTGTGACTTGCTGTGTGGCTGGGTGGCTGGCCCCTACCGTCCTCCTCTCCTTGTTCTCTTGCTCTTTATTCTCCTCCCAGATTTCCCTTTCTATTTATTCTCTCTGCCTGCCAACCCCAACTATCTTTTCTCCTGCCTCACTATTGGCCATTCAGCTCTTTATTAGACCATCAGGTATTTTACACAGGCAAAGTAACACAGCTTCACAGAGTTAACCAAATGCAACAAAAAAGAATGCAACACATTTTGCATCATTAGGAGGGAGGAGGTGGGATCTGTGGGTGGTATGTAGAGTGAGTAGAAAATTTCTTAATAAAGAAAAATGAAAAAAAAATTGCATCATTAAATATTCAGCAGCATAAACATATGTAACACATCTTAAAATAATATTCCACAACAATATTGGTTTTATAAATAAATTTGGAAGAATTCTTTCCCTTTATTTTATTTTTTTGTATATGGTATTTGACCTGCATATATGTCTGTGCATCACATGTGTGACTGGTGCCCATAGAGGCCAAAGGAGGGTTTTGAATTTCCTAGAACTGGAGCTACAGACAGTTGTGAGCCATCATATGTGTACTATGAATCAAACCTAGGCCCTCTAGAATAGCAGCCAGTGCTCTTAACTGCTGACTTATCTCTCCAGCTCCATTCTTTCCCTTTCTATTTTATGGTCTAGTCTGAGGACCATTGGTGTTAATTTTTTGTTTTTGTTTTTGTTTTCAAAATAATAGTTGTAGACCATCTGCATAGCATGCACAAAGCCCTAACTTCAATCTCTACTACCACAAATATGTCAGGATCTGTGCTTTTCTTTGATGGGAGGGTTTTTTTTGTTGTTGTTGTTTTGTTTTGTTTTTGTTTTTATTTTACTTTCAGTTTCATTGCTTGCTATTGATTTATTTAGATATTTCATATTTGGGAATTCAATTTTGATAGGTCATATATGCAGAAATTTGTCCATTTTCTTAGACTTTCCAATTGACATATCATTTTTCAAAATATTCATTAATTATTTCAGTTGTTTTTAGTGTAATATTCCTTTTGTCTCCTATTATTATTATTGCTTATTATTATTATTATTATTATTGTTGCTGCTGCTATTGTTGTTGTACTGGAAGTTGAACCTGGGGCCTTGTGCAAACATTCTACCAATGAGTTATATTCTCATGTCTCTTGTTACTTTTTAAATTTTGAAGTTATCCTGTCTAGCCTTGAAATCACTAAACAGCCCAGGTAGGTCTTGAACTTGAGATCCTCCTGCCTCAGCCTCCTGAGTATTTTAGGGTTATAGCTCCATGCCACTGGGCTTGGATTTTAATTTTATGAATTTGAATCTGAGTCTTCTTTGTTTTGATTAGCTTATTTGTCAATTTTGTTTCCTTTTAAAAAGTCAACAGTTTCATTGATTCTTTGTATTTTTTGTGTTCTCCATTAATTTTCTACTTGATTTTTATTTTTTTTCCATCTATTACTTTTGAGTTTGGATTGCTCTTGTTTTTTTTCTGAAATTTTGAGATACATTCTTAGGTATTTATATGAGATCTAATTTTTTAAATATGGGCACTTATAAATTGTGAGTTAAAATGCACTATAGATCAAATAGACTTAACAGACTTCTAGAGAATATACTATCTAACAGCAGCAGAATACATATTATCTTCATCAGCTTATGGAACTTTCTCCAAGATAGATCAGGATGGCTGGCTAAAGGGTATGTTATTCCCCATTCCAAGAACTTTTTGTATATATAGCCAGCCTGAGCCACCACTAGTCCATGTTTCTATGTGGCCAAGTGAGGATTCACTTGAGGCCCTCAGTCTATGTAGCTGGGAGACTGACAAATGGCCTAGCCACATACTATATCCCCAGTGCCTCTGAGTTCTGAGCTGGGGGTGGAGGGATGCAGGAACTAAGCAATCCACAGGTGTTGGTCTTGGCACTCTCAGCCTTAGAACCCATAGTAAACCACACGCCATGAACACCTTACCTTTATGTTTTATAACCCTTTCAAAACCTAAAAAAAAATTGTTAGCTCCTACTTTTATTTTTAAAGAAGGGGGATTAAATTTGGCATTCAAGCTTCAGTTTGCTATGAAACTATGAAAATGTGGGTTATATGCATTTTTTCTAATTTATCACATTACAAAATCGGACTAGTGGCCACTAATCATATCGAAAACTACTGCCAAAGGCACTTAACTAAAACGGAAATTATATATTAAAATAGCATTCAACCACTTATAAATTGTGATTTTCTTCCTATTAGACCTTTAGATAGTTATTAATGAATTCTCCTTTTACTTCTTGACCTGTTGACAGATTTGTAAATCAGAAAGAATTCAATAGAGTTGGGTATATCTTCTAGGTGCTAAGTGAAAAGTGTTGGAAAATGCTTAATTACCTTGTACCTTCTTAGTTCTATGAGATCATTAATAAAACTTGCCTGTTTTTCAGCCAACAACTATATGGAATCGAAGTGTCAGGCTGTCATCCAAGAACTTCGTAAGTGTTGTGCTCGATATCCCAAGGGAAGATCTCTTGTCTGCTCAGGATTTGAGAAAGAAGAAGAAAACCTGACACTAAAGTCTGGATCCAAGTAAAGTTGTGTTGAGAAGTTAAATTCTGCTTCATGTTTCCCTTAAGAATGTTTTATTTACTACCCCTTCTCCATGCCAGGTAGCAGCAAATAGCAAATGAAAAAGTCAATTGTAAGAGTTAGCAAATATGCCATCTATGCAAAATAGACCAAATTAACCTATGTTAGAAAATAAATATGTGTAATGTAAAAGGGAGCTGCTAAAATAAACCTGTTTTACGTGAAAATTTTGGTTACTGAATGTATTTTAAGAGACTATTAGATTCAGGTATTAATGAATTCTTTAATTCCTGAAATCAGACCGTTATCTGTATCTTGACCTTGTTTGCCAAATCTTGGATCTCTGTTGAATATAGATGAGATGTGGGGCGTTTACCCACCAACCCCACAGCTTCCCAGAGTTTTCTTGAGTATGAGCAGCATGAAATATTACATAGAAGGATTTATTGCGGAGATAAACAGATAGAAAATAAAGGATAGCCTCGAGAGGGCCTGGAACCTATTCCAATGGGCCGTGACTGTCTCTGCCCCAGGGTTTTTATAGAGACGCCATGGGGTGGAGCAAAAGACCTCCTCCCCCAGCACAGCCAAGTGCAGACCATCTCAGACACCTGCACTCAGGCCCATGGTCCTAATCATCCTCTATGTGGACCTGCTGGGTAAAGCCACAAGGAACCCGAGTACAGGCTCCCAAAGGTCCTCCTTTCTTAATATATAAAAAATAACTATTAATGGCTTACAGCAATTTCTATAACTGTTACACCTCCCAATATGGGAGTAGAGGATGATAAAGATGTCATTTCTCTTTTGAATTAGGTCCAAGGTGACGACTACAGCAGTCTTAGCTGCCTCAAGCCCTTTCTAAACCAAAAACTCTTAAGGTGACTACAAACTTAAAGAATCCCTTAGCTTCATCATTACCATTAACAGGTTAACATAAATATTGCTATACACAGTCACAATTCTCTCAATCTTACAACTCAAAGCAAACTCTTAACAGAACCATTTGAATTAGCATATATGGTGCTATATATAGTTAACAATTTTCTCTGTCTTACAACTTTAACTCAATTTGAATTTTCTTGCTAACAGAACATAGGAAAAACTTCGATGTATTCACATCAAACTTAAATATTTCCTTAACTCCACAAAACCAGGGTGTATTAATATCAATAGGTTTCTGCAAACATAATTCAATCTCATAACTCCTCCTTTTCTTTATAATTTTTTAAACAAAATCTCAAACCTAGTTAGAGGAACCCAAACTTATACAATTCCTACAAACCCATATTGAAAAGCAATATTTTCTTTCTTTTTTTTCTTTTTTTTTTTTTTGAGACAGGGTTTCTCTGCATAGCTTTGCACCTTTCCTGGAGCTCACTTGGTAGACCAGGCTGGCCTCGAACTCACAGAGATCTGCCTGGCTCTGCTTCCCGAGTGCTGGGATTAAAGGCGTGTGCCTTTAATAGAAGGATTTATTGCAGAGAATATTGTGGAGATAAACAGATAGAAAATAAAGGATAGCCTCGAGAGGGCCTGGAACCTTTTCCAACGGGCCCTGACTGTCTCTGCCCCAGGGTTTTTATAGAGACGCCAAGGGGTGGAGCAAAAGACCTCCTCCCCCAGCAGAGCGAAGTACAGACCATCTCAGACACCTGCACTCAGGCCCGTGGTCCTAATCATCCTCTATGCGGACATGCTGGGTAAAGCCATGAGGAACCCAAGAATGGGCTCCCACAATGAGATACAGAGCATTGAGTTTATTACAGAATAACATGAAATACTCTGACGAGTAAGTGGATAATGGTCTCTGACCAATAGAGGTAGCTTGTATACTATATTCTTTTGTTTTTTAACCTTTATGTGAATAGGTATTCTGCCTACATGTGTGTTTCTATACCATGTATTGGATCTCCTGGAAGTGGAGTTACAGATAGTTGTGAGCTGCCATGTGGGTGCTGGGAAATGAAGCTCTGGAAGAGCATCCATTGCTTTAACCCCTGAGCAGTCTCTCCAGCCCTTATTGTATACTATTTTCTAAATTTCTAGAACAGGCAGCTTTCTCAGGGGTGTTTTCCTGTTTAGGTAACTGATAATTCATTTGGATTAATTTGTAAGAATGAGGGAACAATGTTATAGCTTTGTTCTTATGGCTACATAGTAATCTTATGACCTTCCCAACAGTTCAGAATATAATCTACCCACAGCCAAAGGTACTCAGATCCCATTCTTTGGATCAGTAATCAAAGTCCCACAGTTTCAGTTCCTGGTTTTACAAACTGCTGATTATGGAAGCCATCCTCAATAAACTTCAAGCCTGATAATACATAACTAGCTATTTAACAAGATCAGTAGTGTCCGTGATAAAACCTAAGTTGCATGAGGCCCTCCAGCATTAGAATCATATTACCTTTCATAGATTACATGCTACATTATTTTAAAGTTTCTTTTAACCTAACTCAATACCAATAATTCAGTTTCCTTCCAAATGCCAGTAGGAACATTGTTCTTTTGCATCCCCACCACAATGCCTAGCCGCAGATACTTAATATTTTCTCAGTGATAGGAAAAGCACATAGTGAAAGTTTTCCCTGGCAAGGGCATCTTGGCAGTTGGGAGCCAAGGAATACCACAAAGTCATACCATGCAACAAACCTCACACAAGAGATTTATAGGGGAGAGACACAGAATGGCAGCTGCCTCTAATGGGAAACAGACAACAATGGGCTGGGTAGAGGGGCAGCCTTTTGAAGGGTCTTTGAAGCATGCACAGTGAACTAATGGGAAAGTACAGTGTGGTTAGAAGTATTGCTTGGCTATTAACAGAGTCACAGGAGCAGAGAGGGGCAGGGTGAATTTTCACTGGCCTGTTACTGTGTTACAGCTGTAAGGGGAAAAGTTTCCCCAGTACAAGTGTTACAGCTCTGAGGGGAAACTTTTTCCCCAGTTCAAGTGTTACAACTCTCAGAAGGAAAAGGCATCTTGGCAGTTGGGAGCCAACTACAAAGTCACTCCACACAACAAACCTCACACATTTATTGGGAAAGATACAAGAGGGTGGTGCCTTCTGCTTAGGAGAGAAGCAGCAAAGAAGAAAACGGGAGACAGGCTTTATATAGGGTTTCTTGGGGGCGGTTTTAGATTTCCAAGGTGGGGATTGTGGGACTTCAAATTCAGGGATTGGTGGGTTTTCAAAACCCAGACATGAGCATGGACTTTTTACCCTACAGTTAACCTACACAGTCTTCTAATGTTCAGTGATCCCAAATTTAATCATGAAGGAATGGAAGAAACACTTCCATTGCAAGTCAGTGTGAGGCCTAATGAGAACCAAACTATCAGAGCTGCACTGAAACTAAAAAGTTTTTATTCAAGGCATGAACTGCCAAGTTGTCTCCAAGTGAAGAGAGAGCAACCCCACAAAAAAGGGAGTTGGGGGTTTTATAGGGTGGTCTTAGTTGGGTGAGGGAGCATTGTGTGAAAAGAAACTGCTGTAAGCAAAAAAAAATATTTGTGGGGGTACTTCTGGTCATAAGGATATGAACAAGGGGACTTTGTTAGGAAAACAGAGTGTTGTAGTCAAGCTGCTCTGCTAATAGTCAGATGACTTCTGACACATGTAGAATGTTCCATTTCTATTTCTTCTGAAGGGGCCAGGTCCCACCCAGGTGGTGTCTTCAGCAAGACCATCTTGGGAAAGAAAGCCTTACAGTCAGCACTGTGTGACAAAACTTTTCCTGGTGAGATGCAACATACATATCCACTCAACATAAGTAGTCCATGCTACTTATGTTGTACAAAGTACAGTAGACCAAAGTACAGATACCACCAAAGTCCAACTTGGAGAACCAATGAGTTTTATTGGAGTTAATTGTAAATAAGGAGCAGAAACAACTCAAAGGCAGCTGCATCTACAAAGCTCACTCCAGCACAGGTGACAGCTCACAACGCTGGGAATCTGGAGCACACTGCACAGCCTGCAGGCAGTTTAACAGCTTGAGTATCTCAAGTGACTCATTTGATTTAAACCTCTTCCAGGTCGTCCAGCTGGTTTCTGATTCTTCCAGGAAGCTGGTCTGGTCTTAGGATCTTCTTTGCAGTTTGGCTGGTCTGAGTGTCTTCTTTGTGGTTTTATTTCTTGCTCTGGGAAGGAGGAGCCTATTGAATCTGGTCAATTTTAGGGACTTCCTGAAGCTATTTTGAGTTGTTTACCTTCCTGCTTAAGGAGCTTCCCTGCAGGATGGAATGTTTCAATCTCAGAGGAAACTGTTATAGAACAGTCAGGCAGGCAGCAAAGGAAGTAAGAATTTTAGGTGATTAATCTATTCTTTGTTTCCTTATAACCAAAACCTATTGTAGTAGATCCAGATAATATTGAAACAAAACTGCCAAAGGAAACCTGTTGATAGCTGGTAACTATTTTAAATCCATTTGCTTTCCTCAAATAGATGTTAGTTCTACTTGTCCCTCGCCCCCCAAAAAGAAAAATGCCTTTTGGAGCTGAGGATGTAGCTCAGTTGGTAGAGTACTTAGTTAATGTGTACAAGGCCCAGGGTTTGACCCGTAGCACTTCATAAACCTGGCATAATGATACAAACCTGTAATCCCAGCACTCAGATGAAGTCAGGAAGATCGGAGTTCAAGGCTATCCTCAGCTACATAGAGAGTAGCCAAGACTATGTATGACCTGTCTTAAAAAAAAAAAGGAAAAAGATGCCTTTGTAAGAATGTGAGCAAGAAAATTCTGGTAGTTCCTTGATGTCCAAATACCATTATTTGATAACAAATCTTTTTTTTTTCTTTTAAGTGTCTGTGTGATATGACTGCAGTCATGTGCATACCATTGATACAATCTAGGGTCTTGATTGAGTTCATTTCCTCTGCCACTTAAAGAATTGAAAGGCATGAAAAATCTCAAGGGCAACAGGTGGCAGCAGGAAAATTACAACCACCACAGAGAGAATCAGCAGTTGAAGAAAGGCTTTTGTTGTGAGGGAACATATACATACAACAGACACACAGAAAAAGGACCTTTGCAAAGCAGAGTGAGGCCTTGGGAAGACAAAAAATCCAGTCTCTTCTTGGGGGCTTGGGATTTTAAATCTCTGAAGAGCATTCCTTCCCTAATTTAGGGTTCATCAGTTTGAAGAAATATAGGATGGCTCATTGGCCCACAACTGTTCAGTAACTGTTCATCACCAGGGGAGGCTTGTATTAAGCTGCCAGACTTTAATCTCAAGTCAGGAGTGTCTGCCTACCATGGTGCACATTTGGAAGTTCTCATCCCACAATGGTACAGCCTGGTGAATTCTGCCTAACCCTCTGTCTTAGTTAGGATTTTTTAATGCTGTAAAGAGACACCATGACCATGACAACTCTTATAAAGAAAACATTTCATTGAAATGGCTTGCTTAGTTTCAGAGGTTCAGTCCACTATCATCATGGTGGCCAGCATGGAGGCCTGCAGGCAAACATGGTGCTGGAGCTGAATGCTACATCTTTTTTTCCCTTCTTTTCTTTAGAGGCAGAGAGGCGGCAAAGAGGCTGAATGCTACATCTTGCAGGCAACAGGAAGTCAACCGACACACTGGGCAGTATCCTTTAAGAAACCTCAAAGCCCACCCCCACGGTGACATACTTCCTCCAACAATGCCACGCCTAACAGTGCCACTTCCTTTGGGGGCCATTTTCTTTCAAACTACCACATGCTCCCCTCCACAGACCTTCCCCAATTCAATTCTTTTCTTCAAAGCAACATTTTTTTCTAAAGCATTCCTAGGAATCACTGTAAAAATGAAACAAAAAGGCTTCTTCTGTGGTTAAATACTTGAAGAATGCTAGTCTAGACACATGTAAATGGTTAGTTTCCTGCCAGAGTTTAGTTTTTCATATGTTAATATGAGATACAATTCTTTGTAGTATTATCCTGTTACGAAACTGAACCTCTTTTGTAGACAAGCATTTCTTTGAGTGATTTTCCTCCAAAGAGACTTTCTGGAAATATGCTATCTGAGAGATACTTGGTCCACAAAGGAGGGTAACAATTCTAAATTCCCATGAAGTAATTTAAGTGAACTCTCATTAATAGTAAAACCATTTTAATAAAGCACTTTACAATTATAATGTGTATATCACCTATGAATCTAAATTGCACTTAAAATAACATTTGACAGTGATTGCTTAGGACTTACATATGACTCACAAAATCAAATAATTGCTTTTTCTGTTTTATTAGTTATGTTTACTTTAAAACATTTTATATGTCTCTCTCTCCTAAAGTATACTGCCTTATTTTGAGTTTCAAAAGCTTCCAAGTATTTGTTCCTTTCTTTAAACTATCCTTTCTTAGTTTAAGTCAACAGATCTACTGAAAGACATTGACTTAAATCTTATTCTCTTTAGCTATTATGGCACACAGAAAAATGAGTATTTTTTATGTAACACTGACCAAGACTAACACTGAAACATAGTCTTCGGGGAAGAACTCTTGTGACAACTATGGTCTCACCTCTCATTTTAGAAATACAAAACCCTCCAAGTAGCTATTAGTGATTCTAAGATAATCACTTGGTTGGTGATTGACAGACCTTAGCAAGGATGCTACTTTTCAATAGCAATGGGTAAATCAATTGTAGGGTGACATTTGGGCAGCAAGTGAACATTCCATTACTCTACAGCCTTTTATTCAGTAATTTCAGCATATACTGATGGCAAAAATCCCCATTTCCATTTTGTTATAATACACCTTTCTTCCTTACAATGTAATCAGTAAATTGTGGTATTATATTTGTGTTCCGTATCCAGAAATCATCTCAAGTTAATTTTAAAATAAAATTTAAAAAGTATTCACTTGTTAACAGAATTGTAATTTTATTAGCACCTACTTCCAACTCCTTCATTGTTCTCTATCTTCACTGCTCATCAAGAAAATCTGAGATATGTGAAGCCTCAACCTACCACAATGGCATCCTAGACCAGTGAAGTCAAAACCCTTAGTATAACAGCCACAAATCAACATTTAAAATTCCAAAGGTGATTCCCTTGTGTAAACAAGGATGAGAACTGCTGCCCTTAGTAATCACATCATTTCTTAACATTTTAATATTGGAAAAAGTAGATAGTTTTGATACAGCAAAAATGTGAAAAGAGGCATTGGGAACAGAAAGGAGTGGGAGGAGGGAAAGGAGGGAAAGAATGAAGGAAGAAGCCTAGCTTTTCTTCAAATTCTCCATTTCCTAAGGATAAAAACACCACAGATCTGAACCACACGGCATGGTTTCTGGGAAATCAGGTTCAGAACTAAAAGTTTTCTCCAATGGCTCATGGTTATCTGATTAACTGAACAAAGAGCCTATTTTAAATACTCTATTTCACAAAATCAACTTCTCATGACAAAAAAGAAAGGAAACTGCTAATTTAGGCAGCAGATTCATTTCCCTGCAAGGATGGCTAGATAAGAGCTTTCCTCTCAGATGAAACAAACACTGATGGTACACAAAAAATTTCAAATTCATTTGCATATCACTTTTCCAGGAAGAGATTTGTAGTATTTTTCCAACTATAAAAATACAGCTTTCAAATAAGAGCTTAACCCTTAGTTATGTCCACCTTTCTGGCAAATATGAAAGAATAAAGAAGACATTCTTAATAATTAACTACAGAGGACCTCTGCCTTCAAAAAATCACAAGCATACACCTTAAAAACTACAGTACCTAGAATCATACAGCTTATTCTTTGCTGAACCATTAGATTCTTCCACTCGAATTATGTATGGCCTGCCACAATTCATGAGACATTAACCTCAAAGATCCAGAAGCATGGGCTCTGGCCCAAGTGATGGGTCATATGGGGGAGTCAAAAAGCTCAAACTGTTTACCAGTGTCTATAGTGGTAAGAGGTCAAGGCAAATAAAGGTTCATATGGGGGACGTCTTGTTAGCATGTTATCAGAATGATGACACTTATAGCAATGAGTGGGCTGCTCTTACATAGGTAGGCATCCCCTGGGTTCCTGGTTAAAAAAAAAGTTTCACAGAGCCTTGGGTAGAGTGGAAATGTTGAAATTTATCTATTGAGCCTACACAGGCATGCCAGAAAAAAGAGTGCCTCTGCCTCTCCCCCCTGGCCTTCTGTCTGATGGAGAATATCATAAACATTATAACTGCAGCAGCATCCTCATCCTATCCTGTCCCTTGTGGGAGGCACCCTTGGTCAAATGGTTGTCCAGAGTAGTAAGGATGCAGGGCAGAGCCATAGTGCCCCTGTGGGGGATCAGAAGCGAACCAGGGGCAATAGGGTACTGATGGAATGCACTGTTCCTGCATTTCTGCCAGTAGGGGAAACAAAAATACCAACACATTGTCAAACACCAAGCTTCTCAGTGCCTTATATATTGACAGTGATCAACCTCTCCATCAAAGAAAATCAATTCCACAACCTCTGGTAAAGAGGCTATCATGTTATTTGACTCTGGGCACTTGAGACAAATCATGTGTCCTTCCAAATAGGTCTTGCTAATCAAATGAAAACAAATACATTTAACGGTGTAACTGCCTAACCTGTTATCATTTAGGTTGTGCATGGAAAGACAGCTGCTTTTTCCAAAAATCTTAATCTACCATTTAAAGTCAGGCCTGCTTAGCTCTTCTTTTCTTGCAATACTGGGAATTGAACCCAGGGCCTCACACATGCTCTATCACTGAGCTATATCCCAAGTAATCTCCTATTTAAGATGAAGCAAAGATGCTGACACAATGAGGCATCAATAAAGGTTCCCCAAAGTGCTTTAGGCTACTTAAGTGACCACTGAGCTAAACTGGAACTTGACATGTGCACATTGTGACTAATCACCTTCTATACCAGCTCTACACAAATACAAGTGACCACATGGACCCTGACCAAACTTCAAGACAGACCTATAGATTTTTATTTGTTTGTTTGTTTGTTTTTCGAGACAGGGTTTCTCTGTGTAGTTTTGGTGCCTGTCCTGGATCTCGCTCTGTAGACTAGGCTGGCCTTGAACTCACAGAGATCCGCTTGGCTCTGCCTCCTAACTGCTGAGATTAAAGGCATGCGCCGCCGCCGCCGCCGCCGCCGCCGCCGCCGCCGCCACCACCACCACCACCCAGAGACCCATAGATCTTATTTCAGACAATGAGGGTAGAATCTGCCTCTAGACTATTACCTATTACAACGTTTCAAAGGAACTCCAACCTGATAATCTTGATTATAATCACAAATAATCACAAAGAAAGAAGATGGACCAGAAGTTAGCTACCAATCCAAAGAAGTAGTCAATGACCATTCCCCACCACATATCCAAAGGGGCACTGCAATAGCTTTTGCTGTCACCATACCATTGATGTGGGTGAGACATAGGGAGAGTAACATGAGCTACAGCCAGAATCACCATAAATGGCACAACTCCAAGAATGATACAGAGAACTATAAAACAGATGATATCTCACAGTTATCAATATATATTACAAGTAGAATAAGTAACATTGGCTTAAATAATACCAAAATGTAATGAGGAAATACAAATAGGTGAATCCTAAATAGCTTTACACATCCAGTGGTAATTTCAATTTTAAAATTCAATATGTCATTGTTAAGGTATGTCAAAAAGTAATTATCTTTAATATATGACCTTAAAAACACACTATTGCACATGGGATCATCGACATATCTAAGAATTCATTTGGGGTAAACCTAATCTTTAACAGGGAAGAGTTTTCTTAATACAAATAAATATACTCAATAAACACTTGAAATCTATTAAGTGATAGGCCCTGTGGGTACAATGAAGATGACAGGAGACTTAGCTTTTGGAAGATGATTTCCTAATTGGAGTTGAGATCATGGTAATAGGCATTATAGCAAAATCTGAAGTGCATGCAGACTTTTATTTTAAAGAATAATTCTGATGGAGAATGCATTTGATGGAAATAATTTATTTCACATAAACTATCATTGTCTTTCTAAATTCTGAGTGCCTGGAACATCTCTTTAAAATTCTGGCTTATACGTTTGTTTTATTTCATACTAACTGGATAAAGAAACAGTATTTCCATAGAGGAATACTGCTACCCCTAATATTTTAACAAATGTGAAGAATATTTCAAATTTCAAAGCACAGAAACCTTTCTATGAAATAAATATTTAACAGTTTCTTCCTTTTCCCACCTAAATCACTTGAAAACAGCCATGACATGAGATGCAGTATGTGGTAATGGTGGAAAACATTTCTGGACTGGATCTTAATACCAAAAAATGACTCATCTGACCATCCAATAATGAATTTCTAGCAGTTGGTTTCCATAAAGACCCACTTATCAAATTACTACCTACATTACTTCATACATCTTTATCAGAAGTTCATTTCATATTCAATCTTTTTAGTTATAGTATTTATACTGTCATTTTGGCAGGATAATTACAGCAAGCATAAAAAACCTCTCTTGCCGGGCGGTGGTGGCACACGCCTTTAATCTCAGCACTTGGGAGGCAGAGATAGGCGGATCTCTCTGTGAGTTTGAAGCCAGCCTAGTCTACAGAGCAAGATCCAAGACAGCCAGGGCTACACAGAGAAAACCTGTCTCGAAAAAAATAAAAACAAAACAACAACAAAAAATAACCTCTTAGTATAATCTAAAATAAACTGAAAAAGAAAGCACATACCAAGATACCAAAATTTTTCATGCTTAAAGGCAAATGTATTTGGTTCCTTTCCATGTAACACATACTAAAGTAATTACATGCTGCTTTTCCAAATCAAGTTAGGAAAAGGATCTTACATAGAGGAAAGGGAACATTCTTATTAAGCTACTCATTGACCAAGTAGTGAGGAGTATACTGGGAGAGTTAACATCTAGTGTCTTTTCCAACATGTCAAGTTCATGAGAAGGCCTATATTAACCTTGTACCAGAAGAAGCCTATGGAAGCCATTCAGATTTGCTACAACAGGGAGGAAGCCATGGGAGGAGGGGAGGAAGAGGAGTGTAGATTATCCTATGTTTGAGTGTAGAAGCTGCTGGCAAGAAAAAAAATAAAATGAAGTTGTATTTCTTAGGATGCCATGCCAAGCAGAAAGCCTCCAAAAAATCCTCCAGTCACTAGAACATTCTTCTTTACAAATGACACAACCTGAAAAACAGAAGATTTTGATACAATGAGTTATTTTGCTAAGGATGTTGACCATTTCCATTACTAATGACTGTATGTATAGTCTTATTTCCTTATTTTCCAAAGCTACCACCTTCCTGCAAAAGTTTCTATTTATCTAAGGTTTGGTGCATACATGGATAAGCACCCTGTATAGCTCTCTTATCAACTTATTATCTCTCCTGACCATTTCCCTTACAAAGTAAATGTGAAATATTATATCTTACATTCTGGCTTAATCATTTCTTTTTATTTTTGCATTATGTGGTATGTGTGTGCACATGAATATATAGCAAATAACACATGTGCACATACATGTTGAGGGCCAAGATTGAAAGGTGTCTTCCTAGTTCACTCCCACCTTATATATTGAGGCAGGCTCTCTTGCTGGACCTAGAGATTACCATTTGGCCTAGTGTGGCTAGCCAGCTTGCTCTGGTGATTTTTGCAATAGCCCTGGGACTAAAGAGAAGCCATCATACTCACCTGGCATGTACATGAGTGCTGGGGATCCAAAACTGTGGTCTTTAGACTTGCATGGCAATCGCTTTACCAACTAAGCCATATCCCCAGACCTGGCCAAGTCATTTCTTAAACTTAAGAACAGTGTCTTCATTTTCCAACTAATTAAGCCATTTGCACCATTACATTTCCATCACTGTCCATCTTCCTTGCACCATTATGCAAAGTCCACAGAGTCTTTACTACCACTGTATTTAGAGGTCCTGGTTAGCTTTAACTGTCAACTTGACACAACCTACAATTATCTGAGAAGAGAATCTCAATTGAAAAATTGCCTAGATCAGCAGTTCTCAATCTATGGGTTATGAGTCATCCAACACCATAAGAAAACACAGATATTTACATTAAGATTCATAACAGTAGCAAAATTAGTTATGAAGCAGCAACAAAAATAATTCTATTGTTGGGGGTCACCACGACAATACAACACGAGGAATTGTATTAAA